GGGCGCCCAGAAAGTGAAAAGCAAGGACCAGTACACTTTTCAAATATGGAGCTTTTAATTTTATTTTCTCTGCTGATTGTTTAGGTATAGTATTAATTGGTGCTATATTTCTCTTTGGGTTCGGATACTAATAGTACAAGTGTGTGTACTGCTACATACTATAAGCTGGACTTCTGATGTTTGTCCTTAAGTTCCTGGCTGTCAGTTATCCTAGGAGTCCAAGCCTATTTTAGCTGAGACAGATTCACAGTCACACACTCGCAGAGCTGGTGGCCAGAAACCTGCTCAGCAGTGAGTGGGCCTGGCTCATGTTCATCTCAGTATGACATTGCTCTCCCTGAAGGTGCAGTTGCTGTCACTTAGTCCTGTGGTAATCCTGTACGCTGAGTATTGTTGCATCTATTTTTCAGGTGAGGAAATTAGGAGAGATGAAGAATAAGAGTGCTAATCATAGGTAACATGTATTCAGTGCACTCATGTTGTACGGTGTTCCACCAGGCACTGGGCTTCACATGCATTCCCTCAAATCCTTGCAGTCCCAGTTCACAGATGAGGAAAGAGGCTTAAGGTCAACATCTAGGAAATGGCAGAGTTGAGATTTGAGCCCAGGGCTGCAGATGCCAAGGTCTTAGCTTCGAACTACTGTAAATTTAGAAATTTGTAAAATTTAGAAATTTATAAAAATTGGTCTTAAGTCAAGGGTCTATTGTACTAAACCCAAATATGATTGAGAAGTAAATGAAAATGTAAAGATTTTTTTTTTTTTTTTTTTTGAGTTGGAGTCTCACTCTGTCACCCAGACTGGAGTGCAGTGGCCGCTCCCGGCCACTGCAGCCTCGACCTGATGGGCTCCGGCTATCCGCCTCAGCCTTCCAAGTAGCCGGAATTACAGGCATGCGCTACCATGCCCGGCTGATTTTTTTATTTATTGTAGAGATGAGGTCTCGCTGCCCAGGCGGGTCTCGAACCCGCGGGCTCAGGCAATCCACTCACCTCAGCCTCCCAAAGGCACGGGATTACAGGTTGAGCCACCGAGCCCAGCTAAGATTTCTTTTTTTAAAGTGAATTTAAAATCCGTATCACCTAGCTCAGTACGTGACTTTAGTATATCTCTATCAGTGAATGAATCAGTCATTAATAATGAAAGTAACAGTCTTCACAGCATTTTTGTTGCCGTTATGTTTTGAGTCTCCTGTTGAGGTGGTAAAACTGAAGTTTCTGGCCCTGTGGGTGGGTTTTATTTATTTATTTATTTTACCTGATTCAAGTTCCCAGAAAACTACATATAGTTTAGCAAAATTTTCATATACTCAGAACTCAGAGATGCTCAAAACTGTGCAGTGTGTCATGTAGACACTTATAAATATAAGATACAAATATATTTTGGTAAGCAAGAAATGACATAATTCAGTCTAGCAATTGTTGTGGGCAGTGGGGGATGTGGTAGTGTGTCAGGGAGGAACCCCTCAGTGGATGCAGGTCACTGGTGGTTTTCTAGATTTGGGGTCAGGTAGATTCTAGGATGTTAATTATACTTTGTTACCTAAAGTACAAGCATATTATGTTGTATTATTTTGGATCAAAATTATGTTCTTTGAAAAGACAAATTTAAAACATTGAAGACTGAAGCATAAATGGATTGATGGTAAATAAAAGTAAAATTTTTCAGGAAAATATAGGGACTTTATAGAGTATGGACACATTGTGGCATTTGTGTGTTTGTATATTGTGAGGAAACATAGGTATAGAGAAGAAAAACTAGAGAGACACTTTTACTACTAGATATAAGTTGAGTAAATTAACTAGAAATTTAGGATAAAATAGATACCTGCTTTACAGTATATCCAAAAAAATGAATGAAAATGGGTGAAAAAGATAAATTTCAATTATAGGGAAGGACTTTCTAAGAATAAAAACAAAGATAAAAACATTACTGGATTGTACCTCAAAAAACTAAATTTCTGCAAGGTATACTAGCCCGTGAATTTGACACAATTTAAGGGTAATTGGAAAATATATTTGCAGAATATATGCTAGGAGTTTATTATCCCTGACCTGTAGAATTATTTATTTTATTTTTTTAGTTGGAATCTCACTCTGTCACCCAGGTTGGAATGCAGTGGCACACTCAGGCCACCCCAGCGTCAACTTGCTGTGCTCAGGTGATCCTTCCACCTCAGCCTTCCAAGTAGCTGGAGCTACAGGTACGCACTACCATGCCTGACTAATTTTTTATTTTTTTAATTGTAGAGATGAGATCTTGCCAAGTTCCCTGGGCTGGTCTTGGACCTGTGGGCTCAGGCAATCCACTTGCCTCGGCTTTCCAAAGTGCTGGGATTACAGGCCGAACCACCAAGCCCGGCCATAGAATGTTTTTATAATATAGTAAGCAAAGCTAAATATCTCTAGTTAAAAATGGGCAGAGGTCCCACAAGGCTTGAGATCCAGTCAGGAAAACAAAAGTTACTATGGGTGCCAAGCAGGAGGTTTGCAATACAGGGAACTAGTGATATAGGAGTTGGAAGAGTGGAATAGCTCAGCAGGGAGCAGGAGGCATCTCAGAGACTAGCAACAGCAGGAGGCACTGCAGTCCTGAGTGGGAGGAGCCCAGCCTCCTTGTAACTGTGGGACTGGTAAGCTGAATCATGGCCGGCCTGCTGGAGCCACTGAGAAGATATGACATGACGGCTGCTCAAGGCAGAGAAGGAGGACACTAATTTGTTTACTTATTTTCTCTTACCTTCTTCCCCCAAGTTCCTACCAGATGGGCTCAGGATGGTGAAGGACATACAATAGAAAAAATTAGGCTATAGTAATTTATATGTCCTGTCAGAGAAATGCATATTGAAACAACAACAAAATGCATTTTTCCTCTATGGAATAGGCAAGGTGGTAAAAAATGATAATACTTAAGTACTGATGAGAATATAGAGAAAGAGCTTGCTTGTAACAAATTGGTACCTCTGTGTAGGCAGTTTTCTGTATGGTATCACATATCTATCAAAATGACAGATACTGTTGACGGTAGAATCGCATGAAAAGTGTTCCAGTTATATGAGCAAAGTGTGTTACAATTGTATGTGTACAAAAGAACATCTGTATGTGTACAAAAGAATGTCTGAGAAATAACAGGATGAAAACCCCTCCAGCTAAAAACAACTGTAAAAGCTAAATTTTAAAAAGATATTTGCTTGAATACACCAGAAGCAACCAAGGCAACTGGACCCTGAAGAGCCTGGATCCTGGAGAGAAGGGGATGTGTAGAGGTGGTCCCTGTAGTGGATGCTGCTTTTTCTACTCCAGGGATTTGCAGCTGTACTTCTCAAGACAGTGAAGTCAAACAGGACGAGATGGCCTAGAACTTGCAACATTCTCACAGGGCTGAGGAGGCGAAAATTAAAGTTGAGAACTTTCAAGTTGGAGAATCCCTGGTGAACATTCCAGACTTTAGTTGAAACCCCTGAAAGTCTGTGCTGTAGGAAGCAGGGCAGATTTGGTAAAGACCCAAGCGAGAGTGGAGAAGAAAGAAAAGGAGGAGGTGAAGGGAGTCCAAATCATGTTACTAAGACACCTGGATGTTGGGAAGGACAATTCATTCACTCACTTATTCACTGTATATTTAGTGAGCACCAACTGTGTGGAGATAACAGTAAATGAAAGAAATGAAAACATCTGCCTATGTAGCGTTTATATCAGAGTAGGGGGTGACGTGAGAAATACCATAACGATTGAACCCAGGCATGCTAACCTTGGGGTGCCTGGAAGAAAAGGGGAATCTAGCATAGGTGACTGGGAAGAAGCAATCTGGGAAACAAGAGGAGAGCAAGCGGGTGCAGGGTTCGGAAACCTGTAGGCAGAGAGTGACTGTCACTCTTTGTCGCTCTGTGCTGCCTGTAGGTCAAGCTCTGGGTGAGGCACAGGGGTCAGCTGTAGCCTGGAGAAGAGCATGGCCCTAACATGGACTGGCTGTACACTCTGACCACATTGTAGGGGATGGGACAGAAATCCTCCGACATGACATGTTGATTCCTGAAGTAAAGTGTATTACTGTTCTTGAAAGTTCTAGGTGTAGCCGGGCTCAGTGGCTCAGCCTGTAATCCCACGCCTTTGGGAGACTGAGGTGAGTGGATTGTGTGAGCCCGCAGGTTTGAGACCCACCTGGGCAACTTGGCGAGACCTCATCTCTACAATAAATAAAAAATTAGCCGTGCGTGGTAGTGCACGCCTGTAGTTCCAGCTACTTGGAAGGCTGAGGCGGAAGGATCGCCGGAGCCCAGCAGGTCGAGGCTGCGGTGGCCAGGAGCGACCACTGCACTCCAGTCTGGGCGACAGAGTGAGACTCCAACTCAAAAAAAATAAACAATAAAAATAAATAAAAGTTCCTTCCATTCTCCCTACACTTCCCTCGGTATGTTATTCAACTTAATATTTTTCTTGTTTTCCATTTATTTTTAAAGGATGCGAAGTACAAAACTGCTTCGGCTTATTGACTTAGATTTTTCGTTCACTTTCTCTCTCTTGGATCTACCACCAGTAAATGAGTATGACATGTATATCAGAAACTTTGGGAAAAAGAATACTAAGCAGGTGAGTATGACGTGTATGAACTAAGTGACAAAATGCAAGCGAAGTCCAAGTTTGTTCCTTCCTGATTCTTGTTCCAGAATGTTAGAACTTGGGAATGGTCTGTGAAGGATATAGGCTTAAGGAAAACAGGAACCTGTCATCACATGGAACTCACTAACCCAGAGAGATTAGGCACATGCAAAGCCAAAGGTGTTCCACAGCTTTTAGGTACATGGATGAATGATCCCTGCAAAATGAGTTACAAATGTGGGTTACTTTACTGACCCTAGAGTATAGCTGTACATAGTGCAAGTGTTTTGTTTATTTATTTTTCCATTTTTATTTTAAATTCACGGTAGACGTGCATGTTTGTTACATGGACATATAGTTTAGTGGTGGGGATTGGGTCTCAGGTGGCCCATTCCCCAGATTGTGAACATTCTACCCAGTAGGTAGTTTCTGAACCTTTGTCCTCCTCCCTACATCCTCCCTTGCTGGTATCCCTCGTGTCTGTTATTTCCATCTTTGTGGCCATTTAGCTCCCATATGTGAGTGAGAATATGCAGGGTTTGGTTTTCTGTTTCTGAGTCAGTTCACTTAGGATGATCATGCACAGTTTTGTTACATATATAGGTTGTGTAGTGGTCAGGTCAGGGCTTTTAGGGTATCCTTCACACAAATAATGTATATTGTATCCACTTAAGTAACTTCCATCATATAACCCTTTCCCACCTCCTCACCCTTCTGGACTGAAGCTGCATCTTTGGCCACCTTTCCTCCTGTTCTTGGGCAAGCCCAGAACAAAGCATTAGTCAACACTGGTTGGCTGTCCTGTCAAATTCTGCCCATCAAGATCCTCCAGAGCAGCCTGCTTCTGGGGTGTGTGTGTGTGTGTGTGTGTGTGTGTGTGTGTGTGTGTTTCTTTATTTTGTGTTTTTTAAAAGTTTTAGAT